CTGGTCAAAAATGACTCCAAGGTTCCTCACAGCAGTACTGGAGGCCAGAGTAACTATATGGTTAGATAGGAAAGGTCCCAAGTACAATAACTTCGGCTTTGTCAGAGTTTAGAAGTACACATTCTTGTGCAAGTGGTCACATAACTGCTTTGCAGCAGTTTTTTCAAGGATTTTAGAAATAATGGGGAGATTAGATATTGGTCTATAATTAGCCAGAACACCTGGGTCATGAGTAGGCTTTTTGAGTAGAGGTTTAATTACAGCAACCTTAAAAGCCTGTAGAACATAACCTGTTAATAGAGAGAGGTTGATCAGATCTAATATGGACATGTTGATTAGTGGTAAAACGTCTTTGAGCAGCCTGGTCTGGATGGGGGCTAAGAGACATGTTGATGATTTAGATGAAGCAATTGTTGAGGTCAACTCAGATCTATGTGAGAGAAGCAGTCAAACTATAAAAAGAAGCAGCTTTATTAGCCAGGTGTGTTGGAAGATGTGAAATTTGGCTCTGGTACAGTGGCTCTCAATGTGTATATACATGTCCTTCCTTATGTAGGGCAGCAATGGGCAAGTAAACAATATAAGGCTGAGAGAACAGAAAGGAGAAGTAATGTGCAAACAAGCAAAAGGAATGTGCACAGGAATGGGAAATAAAATTAGTCAGATCTAATATGGACATGTTGATTAGTGGTAAAACGTCTTTGAGCAGCCTGGTCTGGATGGGGGCTAAGAGACATGTTGATGATTTAGATGAAGCAATTGTTGAGGTCAACTCAGATCTATGTGAGAGAAGCAGTCAAACTATAAAAAGAAGCAGCTTTATTAGCCAGGTGTGTTGGAAGATGTGAAATTTGGCTCTGGTACAGTGGCTCTCAATGTGTATATACATGTCCTTCCTTATGTAGGGCAGCAATGGGCAAGTAAACAATATAAGGCTGAGAGAACAGAAAGGAGAAGTAATGTGCAAACAAGCAAAAGGAATGTGCACAGGAATGGGAAATAAAATTAGGTACTTATAAATAGAGACCTGTAAATACATATATACAAATACATATATGTACAAGGTATATTTACAGGTATTGCACTGAGGGTTACTGACCAGTCATGCCATTGTGAGTTAAGTGTTAATCAGAGTGATGGCTTGGGGGAAGAAACTGTATTTGTGCCTGGTTGTGACTTGTAGCGCCATCCAGAGGGGAGGAGATTGAACTGATTGTGTCCAGGGTGTAAGGGGTCTGCAGAAATTTTCTCTGCCCTCCTTTTGACTCGTGAGGTGTACAGGTCCTCCATGGAGGGCAGGCTGGCAGCGATGATTCTTTCTGCAGTCCTGACTGTTCGCTGGAGTCTGTTCCTGTCCTGTTTGGTTGCTGAGACAAACCAGACAGTAATGGAACAGCACAGAACAGACTCGATGATTCCTCTGTAGAACTGTATCAGCAGCCCCTGGGGAAGGTTGAACTTCCTGATCTGGCACAGGAAGTACATCCTCTGCTGTGCCTTCTTGGTGATGGTCCTGATGTTGGATGTCCACTTGAAGGACTCTACTGGTGATACAGTGCTGGTGAGTATGTTAAGCTGTGCCTTCTTGGTGAGCTCTTCTTGAAGTCCACTGTCATTTTCACTGTTTTGAGCATGTTCAGCTCTAGGTTGTTGCATTGTCAGTATGACACACCGGAGTAACTTGATAAAATGTCAGTAAATACCTTTGCTTTATGCACACAAACTGTGATTAAGACACAAACTATGTGGATAGGTTTAGGAAAAAATTGACTTGTTTTAAAGGCCCACTCCATCAGACTTACAAACAGCTTCATTCACCAGGCTGTGACCATGCTGAACACTGTTCACTACCTCTCCCCTTCTGCCCCTGGACCATAACCAACCACAGAATATAAAAAGATTTAAAAAGACTACCCCTGCTGGTGCACAAACTTAGTACATTCCCCCCTTTTTGTTATATTACAGGTAAATCTGCTGCTGACTGTTGTGGAAACAAAAAAACTACCTCTGCTGTTTTACCGTCTGTTATGCTATATGTAAATCTGCTGCTGTTTTTTTTTTGTCGGGATATCTGCTGCTGTTGGTCATACTGTCCATGTATACCTCATATGCTATTTGCACCTCATCACCAATGCCCTGGTGATGCTGAACCACCTGACAATTTCCTGTTATTGTTTGCACTACTGTCACTGACTGTACATGGTTTTGAGTCACAGCTTATTGGCTGTACCATTTAGATTCATCCTAAATACGTCAATCCAGTTCTTTCTCTATTCTATTCTATTTTAGTTCCTAAATGTTATGGCACCCAATACTAGGTGAGAGAGAAACAGTATTTTGATTTTCTGTATGTCCTGCACATATGGTGAATTGACAATAAAATCCTTGAACCTAAGACACTCATGGATAAAAAAGCAATGTCACACACCAGACTCAAACAACTTTCTCCTGACAAGAAGTCCAATGTTTATTTGATCCACCCCAACCTGCTCCTAATGTGTATTTACTCCTCTCATGTACTATGACACCATAAACACATGAGCTGAACATTAAAATGCCACTGCTGACTGACCAATATGACTGTGGGGACATGGATAGGAGCAGCTACAACTGTGGAACTTAAGAACACTTGAAGTCAGTGGGAAAAGGTTTTCTCATGCAATAACCCTTGAACAAGCATGGACAACAGTGTGTCTGGCATGACTCAAACTCTTGTTACTGTCACAAATAAGCACATAAAACACATTAGGGAAAACTAATAGTGTGAGTCAGATCACAAAGACTAAATTCATCTCATTTCCTCCCTTTATGCATGTTTTCCTTTGTTTGATTTTTTTAATTCAATAGGCCTTCTGATTCAATAGCATTCTGATTTGGCTGTGACCCTGTTTTCTTCTCCCATATGTATTCTCTTTTGTTCTTGTTGTTGCACTTTTGAATACAGTGGCCACGTCATTTAATGGCAGGTTCATTCATCATAGTCAGCAGTCCCAGCCCACTTGAGCCACTGTATTTCAAAAATGTTAGATTTTAAAAGCCTAGTCTAGGCCTCTGCTGCTCATAGTGCATTTAGGAAATCTGATATAGAAAGCAGGCATGTGATGTTCAGTGTTAATACAGGACAAGTATATACACACTATTGGGTGTATGGCAGCTTTATTTATGAAGAGAGCACAATTTGTCTAAATATTGCATTATTTTCTTGAAACTGATACATTTTCTGTAAAGCTAAAAGTGAGGTTTGTAACAAGAATATTATTGAGCTGTCAGCTCCGGCCTTTCCTCCAGTGTACTGCTTTCCCCCATTATAGGTGAGTGTCTGACTTTCTGTTAGCAAAGGTGTAGTGTAATGTACCCACACCTATATTACAGGCTCTCAGGCTCCATGTTTCACAGGCTCTGGGGTGAAAGGTGATATTCCAGCATGCTAACTAGCAGTGATTAGCCCTGATACAAGACATTTTTTGGCAGTAACAGCACCAGTGGTGTCAGTGGTCTATTGTTCTATCTTTTTTTTTTTCTAGATTCAAACTGTTCCACAGCTCGTCTGTATAATTCCACCTCCAGGTTCACATACTAGGATTTTGTTCAGGAAATGGAGCTGCTGAACTGTAAGACCAGCTATTGTTTCGCATTTCATCCTCTGTCAGGACATTTTGCTTAAGAGTGTGGTGCTCTGCTGCAGCTGTAACCACACCTGGCTGAGACATCAGTGTGTACTGACACACCCAGGAATACACTTTTACACCACTGGAGCAAAGTGAGTAGTTTTTTTTTTTTATTGAAACAAAGTAACACATTAACAAAACAGTACCAAATATGGGAGACAAGACAACAGTTACATGACATTACAAAAGGATAAAGAGTGTTAAATAAGGTTGTAGTGTGTGAAGTGTGGGTATTTCCAACTTACGCAGTCTATGAAATGCCAGAAAGGGAAGAGGAGAGAAAATAAATAAATAACAAATTACTAGTGATAATAACAGTACTACTAATAAACTATTCTTGAGTGGATGCCATTTTCTCTAATGTGATGTATTCTGTCAGAAGGTTGGTCCAGTGGTTTATGTGTAGTGATTTTTTTGAAAGATTGTTTTCTTGGCAATAGTTAGAGAAATGAGGAGTGGGTTTTTGGATTTAATTGGTAGGTGGTCAACGTCTGTGATATTACCGAGTAAGCAAAGTGATGGAGAAGGAGGGAGTCTACAGCCCAAGATGGTGGAGAGTTTCTCTGTCACTGCTCTCCAGAGGGAATGAACTGGTTGGCAGGTCCAAGTAACGTGAAAATAATTGTCGGTGCAAACTAGAGTGCATTGTGAGCAGATGTCTGTGTCAGTGACAGCCATTTTGAACATTTTACTTTCTGTAATATGGGTCCTGTAAATGGTCTGGTATTGTATAAGTTCTAAGTTTGCATTGCTGGTCATAGAAAAGACGATATTGCAAATTTCTGTCCAGAATTCGGAGTTGAAGGGGAGAGTTAAATCATTTTCCCATTTGAGTTTTGGTAATGTCTGTATTTGATATGAGTTTATACAGCTTGGATATTATTTTCTTGGAGGATGTAATTTTCATAATTTCTTCAATTAATTTGGAAGGTTGTAGAGGGTTAATGGTTACACTAATCTTTGACTTAATTATGGATATTAGTTGATTGTACTGGAGGAACTGTTCTCTCTGAACTCTGTACTTCTGGATCAGGGTGGGGTGTTTTCTTGGTGCACTTTCTGATTGAAATGTGTTTATTATAAAGGTATTTAACATTTCACTCTTTGTACAAAGAACAGGAAGCAAATACAAAGCAAATGAATCATTCTTTAACAAAGTCCCCTGTAGAAAATGAATGTCCACTCCTGGCAATCTTCCTAATTATACATATTCCTAATGTTTGGGTACTGTTCTGGTGAGACATGTGTGTAGATGTCCTACAGTTTCAGTGACATTTAGCCACAAATTATGCCCATATGCATGTCCATATTAACAGCAAACAGCAGCAGTTTGACACTATTAGTGAGACACATGAAGCTGGTCTTTGGCTTTGGTTTTGTTAAGGTTCATTACACTGAAAGTCTGTTCACAAATGTAGGTGCTGCCAAACAGAGATAACATCACCTGTGCATGCTTCCTAATGTTTGGGTACCGTTCTGGTGAGACATGTGTGTAGAAGTCCAGTGACATGAATTTATTCCTCAGCTCTGAATCGCACTGAAACTTAATCAGCTCCATCTGAATGTGATCAGGGACACAGTCCACACTTGTGCTGAAGGGTTGGGAAAACAGCTCCATGTCACCTGAATTCTTCCTGAAGTCCTGAAAGCGCATTTCAAACTCCAGGTCTAGGTTGCTGACAAGTGTTGCATATTCAGACAGTTTCTGTTGTACCAGGTTTACCTCTCTCAGACTGGGGAAGTGAGCCAGGTTTCCTGAAAAGAAGTAAAAAGAAATTAATAATTATCAATGCAATAAATATTGCAATTTTCACTCACTAGTGATGTCATATTCCACATGTCATACAACTGACAGTTCTGTTCCTCCACATCACATGATCACATTACCATTAAAATTATGTATTTTGTGCAAGGCATTAACTCACCTGCTGACAGATGTCGACACAGTAGCTGCAGTTTTCTCTGAAAGGCCTTTATGTGGTCAAACATCTCCGTAATAATTAGCTGAGAGGCTGATCTGGGAGAAAGCTCTGGCCTGAGCGGGACACACTAGCTTTGCAGCCGTGGATGGTTAGCCCCACTTTCCTCCCAATCATGGCAGGCGCTCCATCTGTTCTTATCCCGGCCATTTTCTCCCACCTCAAACCATTCTTATCCAGGACTCTCTCAACCGCTGCAAACAAATCCTTTCTTTTAGTCGTGCCACGCAGTGTCTCAACTCCAGCAAGCTCCTCTGTTATTTCCATATTTTCACAGACACCCCGTATGAAAAACAAAAGCTGAGCTGAGTCCGAAATGTCCGTACTCTCATCACACGTTAATGAAAAGGCAACAAATTCAGCAGCCTTTGCTTTGAATTGCTCCTTAACGTCCCGGGCCATGTCCTTGATGCGATGAGTCACCGTATTCCGTGAGAGGCTGATCTGGGAGAAAGCTCTTGCCTGAGCGGGACACACTAGCTTTGCAGCCGTGGATAAGCATTCTTTAACAAAGTCCCCTGTAGAAAATGAACGTCCACTCCTGGCAATTAGAGCTGAAATCTCATAGCTGGCCTGTGTTGCGCTTTCCTGGGCTGACG